GAAATCTTCATCCAGTCGTACTCGCCGTCCTCGACCTCGCCCGTGTTCTTCAGGGCCTGTGTGAAGAGCTCGCGGAGGTAGTCGTAGTCGGGGGTATCCTCAAAGCCGAGGTTGCGGACGTACGTCAGGTACTTGTTGAACTCCTCGGGGAAGCCTTCGCAAAGGTCCTTGATTGGCGTCGTCTGCTTCTTCTCGCCAATCTTCTCGTACTTCTGCTTGTTGGTAGCAGCCTTAAGACCCTGCCAGGGAAGGCCGCCGCGGAGGAAGTACATGAAAACGTGACCGAGGGCCTCGAGATCGTCGCGTCGGGATTGCTCGCGGCCCAAATGGGTGTTGATACTCATGTATCTGGCGGTGCCGGAAAGGGACTTTCGCTCGCGGTAGGGAATGTGCTGCTTCGTCTTGGGGTCACGGTACTGCTTCGCCATACCGAAATCGACAACGTGAATGACGTTGGCAGCCTTGGTGCCCGGTCTGCCGATCAGGAAGTTATCGGGCTTGATATCGCGGTAGATGAGGTTCTTCTCGTGGATGGTTTGCACCCTCGAGAGCTGGGATCTACGGTCAGCTTCTTGCTGTCGTCCAGTGCCGCCTTACGTGTCTACGTACCATCTGCTTGGCGACCATGACGACAGTCTTGATCGTGAACCTTCTGCCGCAGTGGTCGAAAAGGTCCTCGAGAGAGGGACCGAGCAAGTCGATGACTAGGATGTTGTGCAGACCCTCCTGTCCGAAGTAGTAGACATTGGGAATGCCAGCTGGGGGGAAGCGTCAGCGGTGCGTCGCCGGGCACGTGCGGGAGAGGGACTCACGGCATCCAACGAGAATCTTGTACGTGCGATACTCATCTCGCAATTGGGGAGCATCGCTCTTACGCGGCTCCTACAGTTCAACTGGCATCAGTCTTTTGTTTCTCGAATGTGAGGCCACGGCGAGGCGATTGGCGACGCGGTGGACGATGGAGATGCCTCAGCGACGTACGAATTTGATGGCAACCTGCTGGTTGTTCAGGAGGTTGGTGCCCTCGAAAATGACTCCAAAGGAACCCTCTCCGATCTTCTTGCCGACGCGGTAGTGTACGCCGACAACGTTGCTCGACGAGGAAGCCATCGCGGTCGGAGGCTTGGTCCTGTTACGGACAGAGTCGAGGGTGTGGCGTCGAGGAGAGTCGGTTCAATCGTCCCAGAGTCGGTGTGGTATCGCTCGGTTACGAGGAAAGGGAGGAGAGGTAGGGAAAAAAAAAATTAAAACCAAAGGCGATATCTGAAAGATGCTTTGAGACGCGGTCAGCTATCTATGAGGGTGTTCGTAAGCCCATTTGGGCCGATTCTTCGGGGGGCGAAATCAGTTCGACGGAATCGGAAGGGGGTGGTGGTGTGTGGTTGTGGTTGCTGGGAGAGAGGTTTTGAGAGGAAGGATGGATGGGGGAGAGAATGGACGGATTTTGGGACAGAGGGACGGATGGCAGCCGCAGACGAGTGATTATAGTGGGTAATCCGCCCCCGGACCACATGCACTGCACGGGGAGTGCGAAGGGAACGGGATGGGCTGGACCGGGCTGGGCTGCTAGGCTTTTGGGGGTTCAAGGCCTGCTACTGGCAGGATTGGCGTCGGGTGAGTGGCCCACAACTGGCGGTGCAGTGCAAATGGAGCGAGGTAGTGGTGCTATGCGACGGGCGGGAACTGGCAGGCAGCTGGGAGCTCCTCAGGTTCGGCGCCCAAACTCGCCTGTTGTTGGCTCGGTGCCGGCCCGGACTTGGCTGGGCACCTGCTGCTTGCTATCCGTACCTTAGCTTGCTTGCTGCTGGGCGAGCAGAGGCTGCGCTGTGGTGAGGCAAGGTGAGGTGGACTGAACTGGGAGACACGAGTCGCCAGCTGCGGCGGCCTGAGGCCGAAGCTGAAATCTTTCCAGGGTGTGTGATGTGCAGGGAACAGCGGTGCAGGGGGCAGTTTTGCGTGCGTGGTTGTGCTGAGCGGCAGGAGGAGGTAGGTATCCAAGGCGTTGAATTGTGCTTGTGCAGACCGCAGCCGGGTGCATCTGCATCTCAGCCTCCCGTCCCTGGTGGTTCTTACTCACCTCGGTGCCTGTTTGATGCCGTCGCTGTCTCTTCCTTGGCCCAAGTGACCTATTTCTGTTTTCTCCGGATGCCGCCGTTTGCTGCTGGTGCCTGGTGCTGATAGGCTCCTTTCGAGGAATCGTCCAATCCAATTCCAATACTCCTATTTCCCGTTCGTCACTGGTGGAATGCCTTGTCTCGGGGGACGGAAGGGAGGCGGTGCGAGGGCTGAGTCGTATCTCGCCGTTGTCGGATGGCCGTTGAATCGTCTCCGATCAGGCTTGTCGCGGCGAGGAAGAGCGATTGGGGGGAAGCCGGAGGGGGGAAGGGAAAGGAAAGAGAGAACAGGAAGAAAAAAGGCGGGAGAAGGCAGCTCAAGAGGCAGTTCGTTAGAGGGTGTCGTCAACGGGCCAGATGAAATTACAAGCGACGCCTCAACTTCCCCAGGCCAAAATTGCCATGTATCGTTCACGACGGCCCACACTTGACTTTTCAGTGAGAGAAGGAACTGAGGAAGGGGGATGGATCAATGGAAGGGGTCAGATCAGGTCCGGGTCACTGTCAAGGTCCAGGTCCAGGTCCAGGTCCAGGTCCAGGTCAGAGTCTACGGCGGTACGGTAGGCGGTCCAGGGCCAGGTTTGGGAAAGTGAGAGGCGGCGGCCGGGAAGGCAGGGGCGCGGCAAGAAGAGAGAGCCACGAACGTGCGGGTGGCCGCCGGTGGTTGAACTTTGGAGAGGGGGGATTAGATCTAATTTCAATGGACGAGGGGCCGTCGCGGAATCGCACGGCTGCCCAACTCTTGATCCGTGTCTTTCCATGATTCCCAGATTCCCAGATTCCCATCCTCGCCGGATTGGACGAGATGGAAGATCAGGATAACTCGCGTCTGGAGTACGACAAATACCACGGCAGTCCCGAGTTGGCTGCCGCTGGGCTCTGCTGGCTCGGGAGCCTTCCTGATTCACTTACCTTATGCTGAAAGTGAGTGTCGCATACGACACTCACATTGGCCGCTGGCCGCTGGCCCCGGCCGGCTGACTCCCTAAGGTACCAGTGCGGTACGGATGCTGCTGGACGACTTGCCCTGGACGTTGCCTTTATGCTACTGGCCTGAGCAGACCATAACAAGACGAGCCGACACTGACGAGCACAGGCCATTGGATGGCAGCGGCGTCCAACCTCGACAAAGGGGGAAAAGGCATTAGTGCCTGAGGTGCGTTCGCAAATCATTGGTCAATAGAAGAGAAAGACACCAGGTACGTACCGGAAAAGTCCACTCCCGCCAGGGACGTAGCAAATGTACCTTCCCTCCTAGACATGTACCTTGCCTCTGAGGTGAGCAGCGGAAGTGGAAACGTCGCTGCCAAGGACCAAACCAGTAGGTAAAAAAAAGAGCAAGGTACTTGTCGTCACCTCCAATTTCCCACCAATTTCGCATGTACCGGAGCCAACTTCTTCTTCGGGTCGCCTACAGCGTCCCCCAGTCGCCCCAATTTTGCAGTACGATCTTCCAGTTCTCTTTCAACCGCGACGGGACGTCTCGCGTCCCAACTTCTGTTTCTCAACCATTACAGCATACGGATACAGCATTACAGCAGGAGTTGTGTACCTCAAATACCGCTCGCTGGTCCGTCTGTCCGCCTGCTGCTTGCTCTGGCGCCGTCCGTATCCTCGCCTACGATATATGACCTTGTTGAAGAACCCACGCCGTATTCGTCTCGTCTCGTCTCATGAGAAATCTAAATTAAACGCTACTCCCCTTTTTCTGCCTCTCGTCGCTCCCTCTCTCTCCTATTTGAAGATCTGACTTATCTCGAAAGTGCGAAAGTGCGAAAGCCCAGCGCCCACTGCATCATCGCTCGTCTGATGATTAACCATCCAGCCACCCGCGAGCCGTCCGTCTGACAGGTTCGCAGGTTCTGCTGTGTCTGTCGTGCCTGCCTCGTCTGCCAGCCACGGGGAGACAAACGGGACACTGACACCGCTCCAGGCCAGGGTCACTCACGGTAGGCACTAAGCACCAACAACGGATAGCCGAACGACGCGCCAGAGGACAAGGGGAACTCTGGCTGCGCCTGTCCCGTCCAGGCTGCCGGGTGGAATAAATCACATCGAGTTCTTCTGCCGTGGAGCATTGCGATACATATCAAGCCAAGCCAAAGCAGCACTGGAAGGTCGCGCTAGAAACGACCCTAGAAAATGCACGGCGTATGCCCTGTGCGGGGATCGAGGTCCGCTGACGGCTTAGCGGATGTCTGCTTCAATGGCTGCATTCCTCGCTTTGTTCCCGTGCTCCTGCTAGCCACTTGTTATCCGGTCGACGACCCCTTTCGAGGGAGACGGGAGACAGCCAGGACAGCAGACGGTCGAGGGCAAGCCAAACAACAAACGATACTAAAAAAAAAAAAAAAAAAAAAAAANGGGAAAACCAAAAAAAAAAAAAAAAAAAAAAAAAAAAAAAAAAAAAAAAAAGGGGGGCGTCCGTACAGCCTCGGCGTCCTCTCTCTCAGCCTACGAGTACTAGATGTGCCTTACCTCGATGGAAGCACGCAAGCAAACATGACATGTCGCCAACAAAGCGACAAGCGCACCTGGCGACAATTCTTCTGCTCGACTCGGGCTGAGTTCCGCATACCGAGTTAGCAGAACCGGTTGCCGGCAACTGTGCCACGGTCAGATAAGCTATTGAGGCCTCGCCAGAGCTGTAGCCTGCCCACAGTAGATCCAATAAGGCTGCCTGCGGACGCTAACTCTGTGCCTACACTACGGCATCTGCTTGGCATGAACTTTGTACCTCGAGATGCGCAGATGTACATAGCCCGCAGCATAAATCATTAAAACTCTCATGCTCGGCAACTCAAATGCAGAAAAGCAGTGTGCTAAAACGCCTAGGTCAACCCACCCTGACAACGTCCATCGGTCAGCCATTCACCAGGCCGTCGCCTACTCAACGCAACGAACCAAAAAAAGTCCGCTTCAACGGGGTCCAGAAGGGAAAAAAACGCAAGATCACCAACGAGAGGAATCCGCCTGCCTGCAGCCGTTGCAGGTGCTGAAGGCGCCGCTGTCCAATGGCCTCGTCTCCTGAAGCAGCTCCTTGCCCATCCCGGTTTGGACCTGCAGCGGCGTCAGAGCCCGGCATGCTAGGTTCCCACCGCCGAGGTGCCGCCCGAGATGCGGTGAAAGCCCGCCCCGTTCCATGTTGACCTCTGTTTTTCTTCTTCTCCTTCTGCAGAGAACAAGTCGGTGGCTGTCAACCAGCTGCCCCCTTCCCCTTGGCAACAGTGCCACACAGGTTGGTTGGAGACCGCTTGCAACTGTCGTTCGTTACGGCTTGCCCTTCGCGCTGCAGGCTGTCGGGCGGCTTCCCACCCGCCTTCCCAACACAACCAAAGAAAACAGAGCCCATCACCCATCATCCGATGTCTTCTTCCCACCATCCCGTCGAGAGAGGCGTCTTGAGGAGCCACTCATTCAGTCTCCCTCCCGCCCTACGGTTTCACTTCTGCCCCCCCGATCCCCGTCAGCTGGCTCTCCCTCGCCATCGGAGATATTCGCCAGGCTTCAAATGAAACGCTGATCCATCTCCCTACAACTCTCGCGAGTCTCAACCGCACACAGGCCTCCCCGCGTCCCTCCACCAACCCGTCATCCAATCACCAATTCCCGTCTCAAGCCCAGCCCGTCCTAACCCATAGCACTATCGCTCTCTGGAAGCTCGTGAACACACATAGGTCGAAGAAGCAGAATGCTGCTTAGAAAACCCATGGCACCATCCTCTCGACGATAGCTGGCGAACACTGCATGTCTCGCTCCCCGTCGTGACCATAACTTACACGACGAAGCTAACGCCGCAACAATACTCGCCCGTGACGAATCAAGCTCGCTGACAAGACACACTCTTAAAGTTAGCAAGTCATGTCTCAAGAAAGCCAACGAGTCCCGCCGCGGTGAGTAATGCCCGCCCAAGGATAGAGCGCCTTTCATTCTCCTCGGCACGGGCGCAGCTTGCTCTTTCATCCATGTGAATGACGTATCTGTATCTCTGCGCGCGCGCAACGCGTTTCTCATATTTTTTTCGCCTCCCTCACTCAACCCCCTCTCTCCCCCCAACGGCGGCATGAATCGTGCCTCGTCTTGTCAAAGTTGCCGGATGGTAAAACCGGCGGAAGGAAGTTGGTGGGATAAGAAAAGGATATGCTTGCAGAGCGAGCCTCGGTCCTCCGATTTCTGCCCCTGCCGGAATCATCGCACTTTGACCGCGAGAGCGAGCGCGGTAAACTTTCCCATCCGTCCCCTCCGTCTCCGTCCGCCGTCTCAGACCTCAACAGAAAACGTGCAAGAAGCCTTTCTAGAAGCTGGCTTCTGATTCTTTATCCCCCACTCCGCATCCGATCTCTCGAAACATGCCATCTCTGAGAAACACAAGAGATATATGGACTGGACCCTTAAAGACGTGTACTGTTTTGTATTAAGAATTGTCAGACGTAGAACCGACGCCCACTTAATCTGGTCAGAGCTCCCGCTTAGTCGTGGATGTCAAAGTCCGAGGGAGAGAGAGGGATGGATAGACCACGCAACAAAACCCCCCACCACTTCAAAACGTCCTCAGATATAGCAGGTACTATGGCCACGACTTCAAGTTGCAGGCCGTTACACGTTAAAGGTCCATTAGCAACGTCAGTGTCGAAACATGCTACACGCAGACGACGATATCCAAACCCTCGGAATGATGTACAAACAGGTTACGGGACTTTTGTATCCTAGATCCCGTCAACGAAACGAGGAAAGGTTCTTCTAGATTGAATTACTTGACAGATACCTGTCTCCCAAAACACCAAAAAAGTAGCGCCCGACCCACACTTTTGTTCTCTTACGCGTTTGCTGTTGATGATATCTGATGTTTCGTTCCTTGTGTTTGTGTGTGCGTGTTTTTTCTTTCAAAGAAAATAGAGAGAGAGCCTATTGGAAAAGAGAGAGGGAAACCCCCCTGATAACCCCAGCCCATCCCCGCCTTCCATGCCATCCATCCCAATGTCATCATGAATGTGTGTAGTTAAAGTGTGCGAAACAAAAAATGTGGCCTCATGCCGTGGCACCGTGGAGGCGAGACAACCCCAATGAAGCCCTGGAGGCTTATAATACAAACAACCCCAAGATTAGCAAAACAAAGAAATAGGTCTTCATCGCGGGATGACATGTGTGGCTAGCTAGCTAGCCTCCTCCCACAACCCGGTACGCGTCTCAGTGGATGCCGTTCGCCTTTCCGTTCGTGTGCTGATCCGGAAGCTCCTCGGTGGCAGCCCGCGTGGCTTCGTCCACGGTTTCCGCAACCAGCGCTTCGGCCGACTCGGCCGTCGTGCGCGTCCATTCCTCCAGACGCGCCTTCTCAATGTACTTGCGCAACACGGAGTCCTCCCACTTCATGGCGTCGAGGAGCTTGTCCCTGTAAGACTTTTCCATAATGTCGAAACGAGAGTCCAGGTCCTCGGTGAAGGCACCCAGCGCGTCCGATGGTCGGAAGGGCTGGAACGGGTTGTCAATTGTCTCTGTTGCATTATTAGCACGGAAGTACGGTTTATTGAGATGGTAACACTCACGATGCTGGTAGCAAGAGGCAAATGCGCTAAAGAGTGCCGTGCTTGTGATCTTCTCCTCCACAGCCAAGTCGTCCTTCAATTGGGTGTCGTTGATCGTCGTCCAGTCATCTCGGATGAAGCATCGTCTCCAGATGAGGCGCTTGGCCTTCTTAAGCTCCTCGCCATTGAGGCCGAACGAAGCGGCCAACAGGGCAAGGTAGAAAGGGTCTGCGATCTCAGCAGCGGTCTCAGCCGGAAGGTTGATGAGTGTAAGCAGATCAATGAGAGACAGAGCATCGAGCGCCTCGTGCCTAACGAGTCGACGCATGCTGTTCTCAAATACTTGAATCAGAGCCTTCTGCTTCTTGGGAATCTGCACACAATGGTTCTCCATCGCAAGCTGAACCTCAGCCGTCTCGTCGACCGCCGTTTGGATTGAAGGGAAGACCTGCGCGTACAGCTGGTCCTGGATCCTGATCAGCCCAAGTTGGTTGTCGATGGTATCCAGCTTCTCATCGTTCTTGGGTTCTTTGATATCACTGCTGGCTGCTCGCTTGAGTCCGAAGAGGTCGGGAGTTGAGGGCTCTGGAGACTCAGCCATCAGCGCAAGCTTGCCAAGACTGAGCTCAATCTTCTTGTTCCAGACTTGCTGCTCGCGGGTCAGGCCGAGGTTAAGTAGAGTCTCCGCAGCATGGTCGATGTCGTCCTCGCCTTGGACATCGTTGATCCAAGATATTCTGGCGAGCTCAGGCTTCTGGCGGAGGAACTTTGTCCTGTACGCATGGTTGTCATACTGGAAGTCCAGTACTGCCTGTACGCCGGCACCGTCCAACAAGATCTCGTACATAGGAAAAGCGAAGGCCTCTCCGTACTTATCGAAGTATTGGCCAATCTGCTTTTCCCTCGCCTCGGCCTTGTTGTTGAGTTCACGAGCCTCGACTTGTGATCGCGAAATAGTAGCCTCTGTCCTAAGAGAATTGATTTGCTCAATCATAGCCAAAGCAAGGGCCCTCCAACAGCGATGCTTCTCGGCAATGTTGATGCTCTCGTCCCACTTGCCAAGTCGCAAAAGTGAAAGCACCTTGTCGTTACGATCGGAATCGTAAAGCTTCGACAAGTGTTCCGACCATTTTTGTGTCTTGGCATCGAGTTGAGCGGAATTCCATCGAGAGGCCTCGAGTAGAGACACCAAGTACTGGTCGGTCAGATTAGAAATCTCCTTGTTGATCTTCTCAAGCAGAGCAGGATCCGGTTGCTTGGACTTGTCCTTGGTCTTTTCCTTCGGGGGGTAGTACTGGTCAAGCCATGTATGGCTCAACTCAAGCAACCGCTTGAGATTGTTCGTGATGTAGTGGCAGCCGGTCCATGGCTCAGAAAGGCCTTCGTAATTGTCACGAAGGATACCGAGGTCAAGCTCCTCATCCTCAAGTCCGTAGAAAGCCAGCCTCTCTTGTCGGTAGTTCAAAGCCGTCATGAGCGCCACCAAGTTCACTTGCTGAGCCTCGTACATGAGACGAGTGATGCGAACGTCGTCCATCAGATGATCCTTGTACATGTACTTGATCACTTCATATGCCCAAGCAATGAAAATCTCAAGTCTGCCCACATCGTGAATGAACCAGTGTCTCACGCGGTCAAGCTCTCCAACGTTCCGGTTGGGGGTCGTCTTGTCGTCTTGGTGGATGAACTCGACGATCTCCGCAACCAAATCCTTCTTATCGTTTGCGGGTCGTTCATTCGTAAAAATCTCGTGCTTCTTCCAGAGAATAGTGGCGACCATCATCTTCTCAGCATGAGAAAGCAAAAGCCATCGGGTCCGCCTGTCCAAGTTGACCTTCATGTGCTTCAGATGAGCCATCAAGCGTTCCAGGGCAATCACGCGGTTGCTGAGGTTGTCTTCCAGAGATGCTGGTACTGTCGAGATGTGCGGTGTTGATGAGCTCATAATCTCATGGCTCAACTGTAGTGCAGCTTCCGCCATTTCGTTGTCAGAGAACTGGACTCCTTTCCTTCCATCGAAAACCAACGGGGTATCTGTCTTGTTGCCGAAGAAAACGGCTTGCTCTAGCTTGCTCTTCGGTGTGACTTTCGGGGGCTTGTCGCTGCCGAATCTGTCTATGTCTGTTGTCATCAATCGCACAACGCCTGTGCCACGCACGATGAGAACGACTGATGGGTTCTTGGTTTTTTGGCGCTGAATTCTTGATTCTTCGCTGCCGTTGTGAGGCTCTTCGAAGCCCGAGCCAAGAATCTCTGATTGGTTGTTGTCGGAGAGGTTGATCACATCTTCATACGTAGGAGGAATGATGTGATTATCCTCTTGGAGCTGCGAGTCGGGTGACTCCGGGGGAACACCAATTGACGCGACCACAACTGCCTTGTCGAACACAACGAAAGCAACCAGAGCGGGCCGGGGAAGGTACAGGCGAGGTCTCGCGGCCTGCAGTGGGTTCGCCGGGCTGTAGCGCACTTTGTAAGAGGTGATAGGCCGGACCATACCAACCTGCGCTGAGGACGGCGAGAGGATGACTTCAACGAGGGAGTAGTGCGACTCTTTCTTCTTTGTAA